TACAATAATGTTATCGAGGTCAAGTTCATAGATCACACTCGCAGTACCTTGAAGTAAGCACAGGGTTTCTGTGATCCAGTTGAGGCTTCGCACTCAATTGTTCGCACCTTCCTTCGGCTCGCTTATCCACAGATAATTCTTCCGTAACGGTCTTTTGTTCGATGTTCTGTTCACTAGTCTTTCCGATATGTACAGAAGCTAAAGAGACGTTATTAGGCTCGGAAGGTTCATCATAAAATGGAACAGACTGACTTGAAGTGTCAAAACGAAGTTGATACACATGCCTTCTGTGCACAGAAAAGTCATCTTTTTCGAGCAGTTGAAACATTCTGCGAGCAACTTCTTGAGTGTCTAGGCACGTTTTTCTTTTTTTTCACTAACTTCGCACTTGTGGAATTCATATATTACATGCCGATTCGAATGAAATGTTTGAGCTGTCGACTGATGTTGTTGATAAGCACACCCGGAAGCTTAAGCTGTCTCTTAATGCATCTATTCTGCTGTCATTTCATCTTCTGCTGGACCCCGACTACGCCGTAACTGTCTGGTTTACATTGTAGAGCAAAGAAAAGCAGATCATCATTACTTTACCGTGTGAGAAGGATGGCGCGTCAAAGAAGCATAGCAGTGCATATTCTTAACAGCTTTCCTCCAGGTTCATTGCATTTTGGTTTTGTGAGAAGGATGTCGTCCTTTGCTGCTCGTTTCGCAATTTGTACAATTTTCGCAATTTGTACAGATCCAGGAGCAGCAACAACATACGAAACTATCTTCATTAAATCGAAGAAGAAACTGATGAAATGCACCAACACCGCTGTATTCTTCATTCATACCTATTACTCAATATTTCAAACTATTGATTGTTTTCATCGTGTGGTATATAACGGGGTAGCTTCAAGTGAGCTATGTGATGTATGACGACCAGAATTTTCATTCTGACAGTTCAGGCAACTGTTTGACTCCCCCTGTATTACTGCACTCTGTTCCTGTCTTAGTATAAAACACCCTCAGCTGCGCCGTACTTGCTTATATATGTGGTTAATTCGCACGACTGATTATATCTGAAAGTTCCTGGATTCACTGAAGATTTAAACTAACGCTCATCTGAGATAATTGTATAACATTGTGAAATTCGTGATGTTTGGAGCGGTGATCGGTGCTGCCTCAGACAAACTTACTCTCAGGTGGTAGACATTTGATGGATGTTAACACCGGTGAGAACCTTTGATACGGTATTCAGCAAATTTGTCTTTCATATAGGTGATTCTAGCCCTATTCCCATGAATTTACAAGATAAACGGTTTAGATCGTTCATTCGGAAATCGCTGCATGCCAAGTGGACCTAAGTTGATCCCAAATCCCCCTCCGTTGTAAAGGTCAATGTGTATGGACATCTAGTCCAAAGGTTTTGTAAAAGCGAGGTAGCTTATTTAGGAGCATACATATACATTCCAATTTATGCCTGAAATACGTTGGTTGTGGTTAGTCAGCTTAAGTAAAAGTTACGCAATGTAATACCGATGTGCTTCGGTATAAGATGATACCATTTCTTGTTCAAGAATGCGGTATCAGATAAGAACTATCGCTGCTCCAAAAAGGGCTTGAGTGAACTATTTTTAGGTTCATCCGATTACCCGGTACCGCAGACAACCTGCAGAGCGCCGTTTGAAACGGTATGGGATCCTTATTTGAGCTTTATTTTCGCCGCTGGCACAAAATAGGCCTTGCTACGCGAACAAGTTTGCCACCAATGCAACGATTGCAGTGTGATCCGGAGGAACCGTTAAAATATATATATATATGCTTTACATACATACATGCTTTGTTTGGCAGAAATAGACGAAAGCTATTAAGGAAACCATGACATTCGATTGGAAGCTCTGAGTTATATCTGTCATCAACCTAGTTGTGCATGGACACCTGATTTGCAAACAAAAAACTAACCCAAAACCGGCTATTTATGTACCCACTGCATCACTAAAAAAATGTCATCTTTCGGAACAACTCTTCCCAGCGTGTGTACCACGGCTCGCTAGTGTGACCAGGTTCAAGATTATAGCTGAATTCAGTGGCTGAATGGATAGACATTTCAGTAGAGCTGGTTTGAAATTCACTCAAGACTCAATCCGCTGTTTGCAGGTTGAGCCGCTTCGTCAGTGATTCGACCAGTTTCCATTTGGTGGTATTGCTCTATCATCAGGCATTGGACTTGGTCTACTGAAGAATTCATCGGAAGTTCCGATTTTCCCGGTCGCCATTTAATTGTGTATGCCAGTCTATCACCGAAACGAGTCACACAAGACATTTCTTAACGATTTCAGTCAAATGACGATTTGAGATGTGCGACCGTTTATTGATAGCGCCAGAGAAGTGTGTTGACTAATGGAGGAGCGTGTTTGATTTACAGGGTTGCAGGGTTGCAGTCTATGTTGTTCGGAAAGGGGAAACACGAGAACAGCTATTGGGAGTGAGTCCGGAGTGGTCCGATTAGATTGCAGTATTTTCTCCGTTACGTTGAATCCCACGGATCCGGTATCATCGAAAAAACACCCGCACTTTCCCACGGTAGCGATTGTTCCTAATCTATTTCAAATTGATAGCTTGCGAATCGTCAGGAGAAAGTTACATTCCCCCTGTCATCTACACTTTTGAGATGTATGTTCGCATTTTGTG